ATATTCGACAAAAGACTATCATTTTATTTTAGATTTTAGAATTTTTTATTTAAGATTAAAATATTCCTTTCTCTATAATAAATATGATTGGCGCTATATCGATCCTACTTTATGATACATTCAAGTGCAATAGCGTTGGATCCGGAAATTTTTTCTATGGGTGCATCGGGTCGCAGAGACAAACGGCAGAGCAGTCGCAAAATTAAGCGAGTTTATTTATTCTTGCATGAATAGAATAGTAAGTAAAAAAAGAATAAGTATTTAAAAATTGTGACTTGTCTAGATTAGACTCCGCTGATGTCAGTCCTTTATGTTATCGCAATAATCGTCGCGAAGGATCTATCGACTTACTTCGATCGGTTGAATTTCGACGGACAATACGATTTATCATGTCCGACTATGTCCGGCGGTTACCACTTCTATATTACAGATCACTGGATATTCCCGATATCTGATACAGTCACATTACGTAGCAGGGCATTTGTCTTCGCTGTTAGATATCTATCGAGATAGTGCACCTCAACGTTACAGATCGCTGAGTTTATCGTAATCGGCATTTGCCCGGTCAATTCGATTCTCTATCCGACTTGACTTTTCTAACGTTAACTTCTAGTATTACCGACAGCCTTACGGTTTGCTTAAATATACAAATTCAATCTAATTTGTAGAAATTGCGGTTATCCAGTATCGTAAAAATGTCGACCCTTACCTTGCATTCGTTGCACTGCCTGCCAATAACATGCGATTTGCACTGACACTGACCGGACACGATATCGCAGGCAGAACTCGCGGAGCCCAAATTGTTGCAGCCGCATCCTGCAAGCGGATGAAATATTATTAGTGAAAAATAACAATTAATTCTTCGTAATTTAATTACAATACTTAAAATATGACTATACACAATGAATATATAAAATCCAGGCAACGATAAATAAAATCGTGCCGGAATAAATTGAGATACAAACTCTCAGTTTTGTTGAAAATTATTCTTTAAAAATCAAGGCCAACTAAAAATTAAATCGACGAAGAAAGAAGTTGCTTATTAAGTCACCAGTGATGATCAAAAGTTAAAACAGGAAACTTGTAGTCAACCCAACTAGCATATTCCTTTATTTATTTAATACAACGTTTCGTCAAGTGGCACCGTTTGTCGATTTGCAGTATCACTTGATAAGGACACAAAAATAGGGTCGAAGCGTGTTGTATTGAATAAATAAAGGAATATGCCAGTTGGGTCGACTACAAGTTTCCTGTTTTAATAATTAAAAATTTAAATCATATTAAAATTATTATTTCTATTATTTCAATCTTACAATTTTTTAATAGTAATACATTCTTCTATTTTCCTCGTGATAAGTTTATCGATGCAAAGTGATGCCAGGGAAGCTGCGATTTCCGGGGCGGCGACAGGCATAATTAAACGATCATCGAGATCGCAAGCAAGTGTCGACAGCGGCCTCATTAATAATTCATATAAGATTATTCTTGCTTTCGCGCTAATTGCGCAACTGACGAAACGTCTCTAATCGATTAACGTGGCGCGAATTCTTTCGGGGGCCGCCGCGCGAAAAAGAATCCCGCGCCGTGACCGGCTAGCGTTGGCTGCGCGCGTTCGCCGATTTTGTCCGGCGTGGTCACGCGTGAGCGGTTTATTTATGCAGCATCCAGCGGATTTTGCAATTAGCGATGCCCGTCGCTGCGAGCAGCGCATTGTATTCAAATGCCGCAGACGACGGCTGTCGTTCTCGCGCGACTGTCGCCCCGTAATGCCGCGGAAATTATAAATTATGCATGTTCGCATCGAGCATCGCCGGCTGAAGCGTATCGATTTCCTATTAACGGTGGCTCTTACAAAGGGATTACCCGCGAGAATTGATTCGGCGGCGCAATCGCGTGTTTACACACCGCTGCGATTCGATCGTGCGATAGCCGAGAGACAGTCATGCGTGATTATCATGAATAAGAGAAGACGGAAGACAGCATGTACCCCTGCGGAGAACATGATTGCAATAAAACTGATTATATCTATTTTTGTTCCTCTACACGGAGAGAATTTTCTCTTAAAATTCATCCTGAAAAATCATACAATCGTGGAACGACGCGGTATTTCGAAGAACATTACGAGTTTTTTTTAAATATTACCATACTTTTTACTAGCAATCACGCTTAAGGTCCCATTTCAATGACGCTACGATTTAGCGTCAAATATAGTCACGTGACTTTTACCGCTCGCCTAGGGAAGGAGAAGTAGTTGCAAAATATGAGCGTCTTGAAACCACCGCTGGCCGCGTTCAAAAACACCACCCGAGTACCCCAGAGTATCATTTTATCCTTGTTTAACATACAGTGAGCAACAAGGATAGAATAATACGCTGGGGTACTTGAGTGGTGTTTCTGAACGCAGCCCTTGCGACACCCAGTCACACCACGGCACACTGGAAAAGCTGAGACGGTCTCAACTTTTTCCCCCCACTAGGTCGAGAAGTCACTAGACCTTATTTGCCGCTGGTTTCTAGCGTCCATGAAATTGCACCTTCAGTGTACATTTTACTAGTGAAATGTATGGTAAAATTTCAAAAAGCTCTCATAAAGCTCTTCGAACTGCCACGTTGTCCCACGATCACACGATTGTCAGGGTGAATTTTAAAAGAAAATTCTCTCAATGTAGAGTAAAGAGGGGCTTTACGTGTCGTGGAGTTGTAATTACATATACAGGGTGAGTTTTATTATTAAGACTCGATGTTTCCACCTGTTGCTCTCCTCCTTCCAAAGGTTCTTGGCGCCCCAGGTTCTTGGGTTTCCATAATTTTTAGATGTCCCGAAAATGTTTCATCCGACCGTCTTTTTTAACTGACCCAAATATCCCCTTCTTTCTCTGTATTCTTTTGCGGCATAAATCTCCTAATACAAGAAGCACAAATGCTAATCCACATTTTTAACCGAGGATTATGTCAATCCTGTTGTATAAACCATTAGACAACGTACGACATAAATACTCGAGAGAAATGAATAATTCCTTTCGCGGCATTTCTCCACCGCGTATCAGTTTCGATCTTGTCACGCGAGGTATTACCTCCCCGTAATTATGTGCATAATTACTCTTACATCATCGAGTAACAATCGTGTTACACGGGGAATTACATTACAGCCGTGCCACGGCCTCGTAAATTAATATCGCATTGTCGAGTCCGATTGAATCGGAAGTTATTAACTGTTGAATAGCAAAGCGAGAATTAATTATTCGCTCGACCGTCCAGGGAATGGGATTTTATCTAAACCTTCAGGTCGCAATTCTTATTTTCTCGCGTAATTTGCAAGTTTTTCTTCGTTCGATAACGGACGTAAAAAAAATGCCGCGATAATTGTATCAAAAGACGCGAGGTTCGCGAGAACACACTGGGTCCATAAAAACGGACATGACATACCGGAGGCCGGCAATCGCCGGCGACGTCGTAAGAAAGCACGCACGTGCAAACGCATTTTACGCACTGCAATAATTTTAACAGCGTACGGTACCTCGCCGGCTCACCTGGCCGAGAGCTGAATAATTAGCCGAGCGTTTCAGCAATTCCGAAAATTAATTAACGACGCGGTAATCAGGAAGAGAGCGAGCTGAAACATCCGTGGCGGCTCGTTCGCGGCATACCACGCTGTATACTGTAAATCTCGCGTTACTGCCGTCTTATCAATTAACCCTTACGACGAAGGGGGACGCCGTGGCTCTCTAGTTGATGTCCAGGATGTACAAGGTGCAAGCAGGAATGCTCATAATACAACGTATCAGCGCTATCGTTAAACGCTTAAAGATATCGGTGTATAATTAAGATCCAACTGACTCCGCTATAATAATCGTCCTTGCTTTCTGTAATTATTTATGCAACAGACATAACATGAAAAGATCGCGGCTTTATATATTTATTCTTCCACATGCACACCCTCGTGGGGAAAAAATGTATTTCTTGATTCAACTGCATGTATGCGGTCTTGAACCATTTAGCAAATGTTTATTAATTCACAAAAATATGTTATTATTACTGGTGTTTAATTTAAAGATATGTGAATATCTTTAAATCAACTGAACAATTCTAAAATCTAGAATCGTCTTTTGTCGAATATCGTGGTGCTAACTTCGTGCGTTGTAAGATGGAGGGAAAATTTATTCTAAACGGAAGAACAACGACAAGGTTACTCTTGTCTTAATATAGTAAGTCAATCTGTTTTAAGGTAGTTGTTTCGCGACAGTAATGCTCAAAAGTTTCTTCCAGACAGGAACCAGCATTTATTACAATGATATATCTTGGTGCAATATTGCT